CCAATCGTCTTCTGGAGGCGATCAAACATGATTATGTTGGAGCAGTAATTAGCCACGCCATAAAGCTGACATTGTACAGCGAAAGCTAAAGCCATCCCTTAACCCCCCCTTATTCTTCTTGTACTCCTACTCTTCTTTGACATTTATACAACTACAGCTACAGTTGTATCATTTGTCTGCATGTAAACATATCCACTGTTAAGAAAGACAAATTAAGCTTTCAGAAGGCGTATAACCCCGATGACCTGCTGCTCACCCGTCACAAAGGCAGAAAATAACCAGCTTGTTCTTTTGTTTTCTTCTCGTTGATAATAGCTTCTGATTTTTCGACCCTTTTTCTGAAACACAACGAGCGCTCACAAGGAGCCTCTCAGTGTGATGAGGGTCAAGGCCTTTGGGTCGTCCACTGTGCCGACTCATTAGCTGTTATTCATGTAATGTATTGACCGTTTGCCATTCACTGATTAGGGGCCAACGTTTGTGAGCTCCATCTCTGAATTTAGATTGTCAAATGGAGCCTGCTGGCCTGGACGGAGAGTGGATCGCAGGTGGCCAGATATTGGGTTTCTCCTGCTGAGGATTCACTCCCATTCCTGCTGTCAGTTTTTTCTACCCGGGGGACACTGATTCGCAGTGACGGATGGAGGCGACGCCTGGAAGAGCTGAGCGTCACAAACAACTCATCAGGACTTTCTTATTGCTGTCAGCTGCAGCAGAGGAGTGGCAGTTATGGTTCCTAAATCTGACAGGCCAAAACCAAAAGAATCGACGTCCCTGTCCGCAAAAGACTTCCTAAAATGTGTCCAGAGTATTCCCTCAGCTAAGAAAACCAGAACTCCTTCAGATTCAGATCCGTCTTAAAAGCAGAGGTAGGACACTTTTTATGACTTGTTTGTATTTATCTTAGATAGATTGATAGATTGATAGATAGATACTTTATTGATCCCTTGGGAAATTCAAAATCTTAAAGAACATGCATATATTTGTTGTTTCTTTGCAGCAGGAAAGTTTCTCACCACTTCAAATGAACCACTTCCAAAAGGAAATGAACTCAGACGGCGACAATAGCAAATGAGTTAATCATATGTACAGGGGACGGTGACTTCTTGTTACTTCTGCCTGCTCTAAACCAACAGGTAACACTTTTCATGATCAAAATTTAAGTGCAGAAGCGAGCGCAACAAACAGACGAGACATGACTGGCAGGCTGAAGTGGATGCTTGACACGCTCTCAGAATATGGTGACAGAAATAATCTGCCAGACGTTTCAATCATCTCAATCTCCTCCGTGTTTCCTTTTCTCCATGCGCAGCTCCAGATGACAATAACAGCTATCTGAGCCCTAATGACTATCAGAGGAGAGCTCTCGTGGCGTTGTGTGTTGACACGAGGAGACGGGGCAATAACTCATCACTTGTCATGTCGGGGAAAATGTTGTTGGAGCGGACAGGAGAGCGAGGGGAGGAGGTAGGGAACACTGCTGAGAGAGACAAATTCTATATTAAACCTCTGACTTCTGCACACCATGAAGGAAGATCCAGAGCGCTCGGAGCCAAGACAAGCCAAGCCGAGAGGTTGGATTGGGCCAGAGGGGATCATGGGACAATATTTACTCGCCTGTATACTTGCTCCTATCTTTGTGCTAAACTGTTGGCTCTAAAGCTGCTTTCACACATGCACGCCTGAAAATGTCTATAAAATTTCAATCTGCCAGAGATACTTGTTCATACATGTCACTCACAGCACAAAGTTCCGCTGTTGAATGGGGGGGGGGGGGGTCTCACTTGGCAACCCATGACAAAAAAAAGCCCAAATAAGATGGTGAAACTAGCATCAGGTCTGACTCTTTAAGTGCTTTCACAAAACTCCTGAAGTTTTCAGAAGCTCTATGTGTGAAACAGCCGAATTCTTTACCCTTACTTCATCCAGAGTCGGAAGTATTTTTACCGCAGAGTCCGACACTACTTTTTCCTCATGCCCCGCGACCCAAACCCCTTTAGCACCGATGCAATATGACAAATAAAACAACTATTAATTTTGCTATTAGTGGATTAAAAAAATGAAGGACCTGAAGATTTAAATATGGAGAGATTTTAAAGTTTTGGAACTACTGTATATGTTTGTTTTTGGGCCATTTGCAGAAATGAACAGACCATGAAGTTGTGTAAGGTCAGAGCACTTCCTGGTTCCTTTGTTTGTCACTCTATCTTCTACGCAGACCAGCTATGAACATGTTAGACGTGGTTGGACGACACACTGTACACTTTGAGACATTTTCAACCACCGAATTTCTTTGTTGTATTTCTTGGCGGTCCAATAAATGATAAATAGACACATTAGGGTGCAGCGGAAACATACAATAAAGCTCCTGTTGCAATTCAAAAGTTAAATTGCCTCTATAAATCGGCTCCTGCATAGCTGTTTCCATTTCTTTTTAACTCGATAGAAACCTTGATGTTGAACTGAATGCTCTGCGGTGTTAGGACAGAACTGCCCTGAAGAAAACTTTCCAGAGAGGCAGGAAGCAAAGGTGTAGGAGGAAGAAGAAAAAAAGAAAAAAGGACAGAAAGATCGAAAATCTCCCACGTCACCTGAGGGGGAAGGACATAGAGGAAGGTGAGATTTCATCCGGTCAGAAGCTCAGCAGCTCGTGGCAACAAAGAAAAATAAAAAAGGTAGAAGAGAGAGCGGGAAGACATCTCAGATTGTCTTAAACTGTGTGTATAAAAAAGAGGCTTTAATTAAGACGTAAGCTGATGAAAAAAGAGTCTTGATATACCTTTGGAGGAGGACGCAGGGCTTTTAAAACAAAAAACAAAAAAATCCTGAACGCCCGGGCAAATTAATTAACCAAATATCTGAACGCTTTGTTAATGCTCCCTGCTCTTATCAAGAGGCTAATTATCGCTATCAGCCTGCTCTGTGCGTCTTTAGGATTATTAGGCTAATCACAAAGCTCTCCCCTTCAGAGACGAAACTTTCACTCCACGTCGGAAACAAAGCCGTTATTGTCTTCCAATGACACGGCGTCAGAGATTAACCCAATCAGTGACGCTTCAGCAGAGACGAGGGTAAACGGGTACATTTGAGACATGCATTAGTGGGTCTCTTTCAGGTGCTAACATGCAACAAATATTTGTGTTAACTACATGCTGAACAGCCAGTCTTTGACGTGCCTTAAAGTCATACATTTCCCAGGATTCATTTTTGAAAAACCAACGAGTAAAGAGCAAAACAATCCAACATTTAGGAAGCGCTAACAAAAAATATTTTCACTTGTTCTTGTGCATTCTGATGTGAGACTGCTGATAGGAGGAAGTATGATATTTCAGAGTTTCTAATGGGTTACTTTTCCCTGCGTGACTCCACAGATGTTTTTAGCAACTTTAAAATGGTTCAGGATGGATTCTTTTTGCAAACAGACAAACCAAAAGATTAAAAAAAGAGGAAGGACATGAGTTCAGGAGCGATGCAGTTCCTCGTCTTGCAAAGACAGCCTTCACTTCACAAGCTCAGATTGAGTCTCGATATGTGACGATATGTTCATATCATCAACTCCTCAGATGGATCATTTATAGCACAAAAATATGGAAACTGAGAGACTAAACTGTGTGTATGTAGATTACCTGCAGCTGTCTAATGACATTGGTGTTTTAACTAACGTAAGACTGGTATAACCTTTTTAACCAACTCCAATCAATAAAACATAAAAAAACACTCCTTTATGATGTGCCCCGCAGGATAACATTAAACATGATTTTGGACACTTTTTAGACATTTCATTGGTGTATCATTGTAAGAGAAATCAAGATCAAACCTCAACGTCTTTCATGTTTTTAAGAATTGGAATAAGGGATTGAGTGGTGTGTATTTGTCCATCCTTTTGTCCAAGACGTTGCAAAATGGAAAAGCTGGCTTTGCAAGGCGACAACTTCACAACTCCTCTACATGTTAAGCTTCCATATCGGCATATTTTAACATTTGCAAATACTTTTCCCACCACATCAGAGAGGTGGTGGTAAGAGGCTCTGGATGATACAAAGGAAGATAACGGCAGAAAGGTATAATCAAGTTGTTTTTAAATAGTCTCTGTGATTATCTCGGCTCTCTCTCTCTGTGCTGGCTAACACACCCCCGGTCTGGCTCTCCATGGAGGTAAAAAAAACAAATGATTTGCAAACACTCTTTGTCCCGGCCCTTACGCTGTCACATTCTTTGGCATGAGAAGGGAATGCAGAGGGCTCCCCCGTCCGTGTTTCCTGCGCTGTGTCGCCTGCCAGCTCCATGATCTGCCCAATCCCTGGCATTTCCCGGGGAATGTGACCGGAATGTTATCTGCTTGCAAGTGGAATGCCTGGGTCATGGTTTTTGACTTGGAATTCATGAACCCGCCTGGAATATCTCCCCTCTTGAATGCTTTCTCCCATAATGCTGTTGGTAAAAGGCGTAGGTGCACAAATGCACGCTATAGGCATCCTTCTCTTCCAAGGAAATGTTAAGCTGATTCTTCAAATGTATGCCAAATTTGGAGCATCTTCCCTATGCACCAGATTAACCATTCAAGGAACCTTGAAAAGATATATGTTAAAAAAAAAAACACTTCATGAAATAAGGCACTCCCACTTTCTATTGTCCTGAAGACTTTTAGTCTGCAGAGAGGTAGAGGGAGATGAAGCTGTGCAAGTCGCCTTATCCACCTCTGCATTGTCACAAAGCTTCAAAGGTAGGGGGGGGGGATGAAAGCAGGGGGGATGCGAGCGCTCTGATAGAATCTGAAGATGGGACGAGTGATGTGTGTTCTGCTCCTTCAAAGGGAAAGAGAAACACAGATAGAGAGAGGGGGAAAGAAACGGGCACCAGCTATTGGTTCAAAGGCAGATATCCCACCATCCAATGTACCACCTTTAACCGGCTTTCCAAAGCAGCAGGGTGGGAACAAACAGGACCTTCAATGATTAAGAGAACCCCCCCCCACCCCCCTCCCCCTCCTCCCTCTCATTGGGTTGAGTGATGGTTAAGATCCTTATTTAGATGAAGGGCAAAGTAGTGGAAGAGGTCCTGGACTGTGTTCCTGTGATAAAAACCACACACTTAGAACCGGTCGTCTCTGAGTTGCGTCGGGGACTTGAAGGGTTTGAGCCCCAGTGTCCTGCGGGGGTGAACCCTCTCTTTGGTGCCGTCCAGGGGTTTGCTGCAGGCCGCCCAACCCAGGTCGATGAGCGGCGAGTCAGCCGAATTTAGGGGCGCTATGCGGAACGTGGGCAGCGTGGGCGAGCCGTTAGTGGAGCACGGCGCAGAACGAGAGGTGGGAAAGGGAGTCGAGAAAGGGTCAAAGGGGGAAGTCGTTTCCGAGCCGACTGTCGGGTCAGCCTTGAGGGCGAAGGGGTCGCAGTCTGGTGAGGGGAAGGGGTCACAGTTGTGGAAGGGATTGGTAGGGGACGGCTGGAAACCTAAGAGGCTGCTGTCCGAGCGGTTCGGGCTGCGGCCGCCAGAGTTCCCGCCACCGGCTGAGATGAAGCTCCAGGGATCGATGCGGGGGCGGATGGGGGATGGGCGGGGACGTGGGATGACACTGACCTCCAGGCGGCGGGTTTTTGGGCTCCAGAGGGCTGGGTTAGGGTGGAGGCAGAATGGCACTGAAGGCTTGTCATCAGGGTCCTGTGTGTCTTGGCACAAAGGAAGGTCCAAAACTGAAGAGAAGAAAAACATGAACGTTAATACTTTTTTACTTCCAAGGTGTCAAAGGGGGACAAACTCAAATTGGATCAACATATCCTGACGTGTTCTCCCTGGTATAAGGCTTGCCACAGTAATAAGTGTTACAGACTTTGGTGATACAAAAGTAACATTCCTTGCCAAATCCTTCGCCAACTTTTATACTTTTAAAAGCATTTTCTCAATACTCAGTCTGACAAAGAACAAACCAATAATGAACAGAAAGTGTCTGCTTTGTACAGCAGAATGGCAGCACTCAGTAGTAGCAGTCTAATTCCTCTAATCACTTGACCATAGCCAAATATAAAGGCAGCTGAACACCAAGATGACAGCAGATTTAACTATAAAAATTCTAATTTCTCATGCTCCATTCACATTGGTTCAGGCAGTTTGGAAAGTTGAGAATTTGTTGGATGCTTTTTCAGCTCGTCTCATCCAAATGTACTTCCAAGCTCTTGTCCACTGATGTAATATCTGCTTTACTGTCTGCTGTCTGCCTGGATTCATGTGAATGTGGTAAAAGCGTTCTGTGTTATTTGTGAAACCATGTTTTCACAACCGTTGGGTAAATGTTCTCACCATGGAATCCCTGACTAGCATAAGTCAAGTTTTAAAAACATGGGGTCCTTCATTTCCCATAATGCAACTCAACTGCATCCTTACAAGCTCCTGTCTTGAAAAATAACGGCAGTTCCTCCAGTGTCCACTTGAGGCTGGCTGCAAAAAACGCAAATTTCTACAGCACACATAAACATGTTTGCAGCCTGGAACAATTAACGGTTTTGATTTTTATAATCATTTATTAAAACATAAAAAAATGTAGAAGGGTTGAAACTATATCTGATCTTTGACTCAAGACGAATATATACCAGCCCACTAGCTCAAATGCCATGAAAGGTTATTATCCAATCACAACGTTTTGACCAGAGCTCTTCTTCAGGTGATCATTTTTTAAACAGGGTGGTGGTGGTGATTCTTAGGGGCACACCTACATGATGTGCATACAACAACCTCTTTTTCTATAACGTATCTTTGCCTGTCACTAGATTGATTAAAAAGGTACAGTAGGTGGTGATACCATTTTCCAATATGGCGACCGCCATTGTTGGGCTTCATTATGCCTCTGCACAAACCAACGGGTGACGTCCATGTTTCATAGAGTCTATGGGTTGTACCCGTCTGTTTAATTCCCTCAAATTCAGCCACACAGGTTCTCTATAAAATAATTTCAGTCGAGATTATAGTTTGATGCTACAATACAATCTCCTTTGTTTTTAATGGTCGACAGAATCAAAAGTACTGAAACTTTAAAAACGACAAGACAATTTCTGATTTAGATTCCAGTGGTATTGAAACAGGTCTTGACATTGATTGTTTTTTTTTAGTTTAAAATGTTGATATTGGGAAGACCCTGGTCTAGACCCCAGCCCTGCAAACATCACTCAGATTTAGATTTAGTAGGCTAAAGTAAGTAAACACCTGTTTCACATGCAGAGTAGAATTAGTCAGAAAAAGGAAGCTGACTTTATAAGTCTAAGGAAGGTAATGATCATCCCCTTATTGAATAAAAAAAAATTAGCAGATAAGCTGAATATTCAACATATTAAACCTCTTCATCTTCCTTCTCTCACTTTCTTGCTTCACTTTAATTGCCAATCTCCAAATTACTCTCAAACTGCTGTCATGTTGCCCTGCTGCTCTTTTACGAGCTCCTCTCAAATCTCAAAAGCATAAACTGTCTAATATCCTGCAAAACACATAAAACCTGTACGGGGAACAGAAAGGGTCCAAACAGGAACAAGAGAGAGTGGTGCATGCCTCCTTTGCAAACAAAAGCACAGAATGCTGATGTAATTAGTGTAAATTAAGAACAACAGCGCGCAGTGCAACTAGTAGACAAAGCTGCAACAGCAGCAAACAGCGAGTCTGAATTAGCGCTGACAAGAACATTAAACTGCAAATAAATAAGCCCAAATGAACATTTGCTACTTCCAAATGTGATGTGTCTGCCAAATGGCATTATTTACATCAACAGCATCTCTCCCCGGCTGCAGAGCTTTTTAGCTGACAAGGAAAGAGCAATCAGGAGTCACATGAGAGCTGGAGATGGAATCCTCCTCTCTCCCCTCCTCTCTCACCCCCCCCCCTCTCTCCCTCTCCCTCTCTCTCTCCCTCTCCCTCTCTCTCGCTCTCGCTCTCGCTCTCTCCCTCTCTCTCTCCCTCTCCCTCTCTCTCTCGCTCCCTCTCTCTCTCCCTCCCTCCCCCTCCTCTCTCTGTCTCTCTCTCTCTCTTCCTCACCCTCACTATATATCTCTCTCCCTCTCTCTCTGTCTCTCTCTCTCCCTCCACTCCCTCTTTCGCTCCCCCCCCCTCTCTCTCTCTCTTTCTCTCTCTCTCCCCCCTCTCTCTCCTCTCTCACCCTCACTATCTCTCTCTCTCTACGTCACAGTCATCACAGTCAATAAACATGTGAAGATGTTTAGCAAAAAGCACACACGGCTTAATTATGCAAAGTGTTTTTTTCTCCTTCTGCATCTTTGTGCAGCGGTGTAATGAACACACACAGTTTGTGATTCTTGGTTTGTAAGCAGCAGAGGGAGGCGAGGCTTGCTCGCTCCGTACCTGCAGGCAGAGCCGTGAGAACCTCTCTGTGGAGAATCCCTGGCTTTGTGAGTCAAACGGACCAGATATAGAGTGTGAAATGTTACCATGGGGGACTCTTAAAGCCCTCCGCCAAAGCCGCCTCGCTCTTCAAACAACCAACAGCATCGCCGCCTTCATTACAGCTACGAACTGAGCCAGCGCCGCCAAGAAAGACACGTTTGGGAGAAACATGTGAAAGCACTTTAAATCAAAGCGCTGCTGGAATGAGGATCATGTCTGCTAGCATGACACTTACAAGAATGGAAACAAAAGTATAAATATGCCCCCAGAGGACGAAAAAACTGCCAATTTCAACACGTGATTACGAGCGGAGAATGAATGCTAATCCCTCTTTTTGTCACGTCTCGTGTGTGTAGCCGTCATACAGGGCATGGAGGCGTTTACATTTGATTCGCCTCTGTGTGAGATTTTGCTCAGCCGGGAATGCAAATGAGGGCGCTAGCAATAAAAAAAATGTGTTCGCGGTGAAACAAACATCTTCCCCATGGAGCGTCTCAAAGGAACCTTTTTTATACATCTGTGTAAATGACAAACTCAGCATTGAACGTAACAGAGATCTCACTCAGTGTTTTCCTGCAGATCTACAAATCATTAACAGCGACTAGAACTTGTTGATATCTTACAAAGGAGCAATATGTAAGTCTGACACCTAGCGTTTAAAATTGTTTTTTCGTTTGCTTGGCAAACCGAGGGGCGTCTAAAACGGCCGTGTGGAAGGACATACTGGCTGCTGCATTGTTGTCAGAGAAGCCAGCACTTCAACATAGCATGTTTCCTTAATGTCTGATCATATAGTAAGGTATCTTTATGATTAAATTCAGTAGATATCTTACTGATTCCTCCACTATGAGAACAATAACGATGTTGAATGTTAAGTCACCCCAACTCAGCCGTTTTGGACGCCCCTCGGTTTGCCAAGCAAACGAAAAAACAATTTTAAACGCTAGGTGCCCCCTCGGTTTTGAGAGCAGTTATCAGGTCAAACCAACAGGTGTTGCAGTGATGGAAGCGGGCAAGAGAAGTGGTTCAGATAGAAGTGATTGTACCCGACCTAAAAAGCCTCTGCATGTTTCTAATAAGCTCCACGAGCAGAAACGTGCTCAAACTAGGATCAATATTGGAAATACTTTTGAAAAATGGAGAGAGGTTAGAACACAGAAAGGTTTACAGACTGATGCAGAGCTGGATAAACACTGAAGCTTCAGTGTCCACCACATGGTGACCTGTGTGAGCATCCACTCTAGAGAGGAGGGGGCGGGGGGAGACAGCTCTGTAATGTTTTGAATTTTGTCAGTTATATGTTGCTCTAGGTTTTACCAAGTTTGGGTAAATCTTTGTGTTTATCTGATTTCACAACAATTAAAGTGTTTTATTATGCCGATTATAACTCAAGTTGACAGTAAAAAAAGTGTTTGGGACAGTAGTTTAAGAACTAGAGCCCTCACATACATCGAGTGATCTCCATCCAGAGTCCCAAAGTGTCGGTTAAAGCGGTCAGGAAGACTTTGTGGTTCTGTTTAAGTCAAGACCGGATCATTTTAAATTCAAATAAAGCATTTCCTGTCTGTGTGGCCTCAGCTGTGCTGCTGGATGTTTCTCATTGAACTTTGCTTTACAAGAAACGCTGCACAACCGACTTGAAAGAGGGAAGACAACAGAAGATTGGATGCTAGCTTTGCTTAGCAAGAATTAGTGGAGAAATACAGAGGACCAGCTGTTACCTGAGATATGCAAATAGCTGCAGACAAGCTTTGAAGTAAATGAAAAAGCCCTGTGCTGCATTGAAGCTTCCCTTGTGTCAGAGAGATCTTGCCTGAAAAGAGGCATAATAAAAAATGAGCAGGAACTGTGAGGGGGGGGAGAGGGGGTGTTGCCATGCTGAGGTGCTGCATTATTCAAGGGAAAAGTTGGATCCAAATTCAGCGTGGGGCCTTTCTAAAACATTCTGGGTGCTCTTGAGGAAATGCGGATGAATCATGCAGATAAAACAAAAACAGAATCGTGGATCCAAACTGGCGAGGAGACTGTCATTTGAAAGGGCACCGCTGGGATTTAGTCACGCTCTTTCATAATGTTTGGAGGTTGGCAAATATCAATTATTTAAAATATGGGCAAAAACGGTCACAAGAAAATCAGCAGATGCCTAAATATTCTGGATTTGACGCCCAGCTCAAAAACTTTACACTGGAAGTGATGGAAGCCGCCGTGAGTCAGTCTCCGGTTTATGAAACAAGAGCTTTGAAACTTCAAGTTTGGCATTAAAGTCCTCACCATCTCAGTGTTTTGGATGTAGATTTGACTATATCTGGCTCAGGGGTGGATCTGGATAAGAGTGAGAGGTTGGAAAGTGCCAAGTCAAAGAAAAACAGTCAATGTTGATGTCTACAACTGACTGCGTTTCCCATAGCCGACCACAACTGTTCAACGAAAGAAAAATGCTAACAGAGCAAAGCTAACTCTTTTTTTTCTTTTAGATTTATTTTTGTACTTTTTGTGTCTTCATTGCAGATATAGGACAGTGGATAGAGTCAGAAATCAGGAAAAGAGAGTGGGGAATCACCTGCATGAAAAGAGGTCAGATTTGAACCTGGGCCTCCACACATTGGAATTTAAAGAGCCCATATTATGCCCTTTTTGGGGTTTGTATATTTAATCTATGTACCTACTTTTGTACGTTCACAATAGATAAAGTTCTAAAAAAGTGTCTGTTTTCATGTACTGCTCCTCCTTGCCCCCTCTACACTCTGTTGAGCCCACACTGTTAGACCCCATGTGGGCCAAGTCTGCTCTGATTGTCCGCTCTGTCGTTATCGGTCAGTTGCTCAGCACGCTTCTCGGAAATGTCCCGTCTCTTTTACCATATTGGGAATCCGTCCGAGGGGAGCATAAACATTAGGACCTTAGCACTACTGTGCTACCGCAGGCTACGGCATATCGTGGGCGTGCTACAGAAGTTAACGGGCGTGCAACATGAGCTGCAGGGCTTGCCACAACGAGCCAATGGGCTGAGATCAGTGATCTCACACTGACAATGACGTCACACTGATACATTTTTATCGAGGGGGACTAGAACCGAGCGTTACATGCGGCTAATGCTATCTGCGAGAGAATGAGAATCTGCGTTTCTGCAGACTTTGAATTTTTGCAAATAGATGTGTCTAAACATGCACAGGACACTTAAAAAAAAGAAAACACACTAAAGGGCATATAAAACCAGAAAAAGCAGAATATGGGACCTTTAAAATAAGTGATTTCCTCAGTGCTACAGCCAGCTGTAATCTCTGCAGGGAGAAGCCAACAAGTCTGACTTCTGTGAATAAATCAATTCATAACAACTACTGAGATGCTTATCAGAAGCCAGAAATGGTTAGCACACACAAACCTGCTAGTTTGTGCTAACATATAAGACAGGATGAAAGGAATTGCACTCAACAAAATAGCTGGAGCACGGACTGCTTTGACATTCTGTCAGTGAATTAACAGCGCTGAAAACCTTTTTTTTGTCTGATATTTGCATGATATTAGCTCTCTTTTACCTAAATGTACCACACCCCGAATTATGCATAAATATTTATGAATTAATTATAATTAATAATTATGAATTTGTTTAATTCTATTGTAATTGACGCCCTTACAGTTGTCATTAATGGGGGAGATGAGCAAAACAGCCAATAACCTTTAATCTAGCAGGTTGTTTACTGACTTATTCTGCTGTAAAGTTGGACATCTTGATATGAGACTCAGGGGATAGACTCACTTTTTGTGTCCTCACTTTGCCTCAAGCTTTCTCTCAGATTTCTAACTTCCTGTGATGAACTTTTGTTTGACCCACGCTGCCTGGCAGAACACCAAAAGTGAGTGACCCCGGTTTGCTTTATAAAGTGTGTATATTCTCACAGTCTCCCATTAACTGACTCTGACCTTTAAAATTGGTGTACTGACCCTTTAACATTTTGAAAAATAATGTGAGACTGACCGAGCTGCGAGGCGTGCAGGCCTTGGCTTGGTCTCCTCCTCCGGTCGGCTCTGTGCTCCCAGGCCTCACAGCCCAGCTCCCCGTTTGTCGAATGGAAACTCGGGGTCCACTCCCCCGGGCTGGCTCCGCCCTGCTGCAGGGGCGTCCTGGGGGCCTGGGGACTGTGCGGCATCTGCGGCGTGCGGGGGCGACTCCTTTCTCGAGGGTTTGGTGGAGGCGGGGTCAGGGGGAGGGGCTTCAGTTCTTGATACTGCAAAGCTAAATCCAAGAGCGGCCTCGGGAGCTGCTCGGAGGTGGAGAAAGTGATGAGATCATCCACTACTGGGGGGTCAGAAATGAGGGGCTTTGGGGAGGAGATCTCCGGTTCAGAAGGGGTGCGGTCCCCTAGGGAGGAGGGGTTAGTTCTTGGGGGTACCCGTGGGGGAATATCCAGGCAGCGACCGAGTCCTACAGAGGCCAGGAGGGAGCCGCCACCCAGTAGGGCCTGGTGGGTGCTCTTAAAAAGGCCACCCATTGAGCCCCTGTCAGGCCTGGGGGAGCCGGCTGGGGAGGACCCCCCCTCCTCGCTGCCAGAGTCTCGCTGAGGTAGAGGAAGCCGCAGGCTGTCCTTCACTGAAGAGCCTGCAGAGAGAGGAAAATGTTTTTTTTTTTTTTTTTTAAAAGACGGAAAAGGGAGAACGAGGCGAGGCATTTATTATTCATTCGGCTTTTATTTATAATTCACACTCGTGTCAGCGTGAATCCTAACAGCGGCTAATGGAAGATGTGCAGCTGGCAGTTAAGGCTGCTGACGGAGGACAGTGGATACCGTTCAGAGTGGAGGGAGGGGTCGGCGTGGAGGGCCTGTACTCCTCAAAGTCGTCTTTAGATTCCCCGTTCTCGTTGCTGTCCGACTCCAGGAGCTTCGCCCTCATCGACAAACTGAAAGAAAACAAAGAAGTTTAAGTGCAATCACATCCTTCTTCAAGTTAAGACGTCAAAGAAAGAACGGTCCTTCTGTACCTGCTTTCCTGCGGACTTAGACGCAGGACTTTCGGGCTTTTGGGACTTTTTGGGCTCTGGGGCCTCCAGTGGGGGCCCAACCTCAGGTCTCCATTGGCTTGTTTAAGGGAAGAAGCTGAGCTCAGACCAAACGTCCTGCTGTTGTCACTGGGACTGACTGCAGAGAGAAAGAAAGAGAAGCAGGTTGAATTTAATATGAGTCATCAGTATGCACGCCGCTTAGCTTCACTCTAATGAGGTGAGCAGTTTTAAAAGGCAGGATTCACCAATAAATCGACGCGGCTCTGCAATCATCTCCAACAAAACGACCTTTAACTGACTCCTGCCGCAGCTAGAATTCATATAACTTCAATGCACTTGTTCCTATCTTTTACTTGGGCATGTTGGAAAGTCCCGCTGCAGCGCACATCTGCATTTTAATGACGCTTCATATACATCTGCATCATTCCCTGATCGGGCTCATAAACCAACCAAACTGTCGGCTGAATACCTTCTGACAAACTTAACCTAATTTTGTGCACAAAGTGAAAAGATCGAAGCTGCTGCATGAGTGGAATAATGTGATAAAACCTCTGTAGCATGGTCATTTGGTCTAGTTCAGAGTTTTTCTGGGAGCCTGACCTCGCTCATTCTGCACAAAAAACACAACTTTATTTGCTGCTGTTGTGAAACTGGAATATATTTCATCTTGAATGTTTTCTCTGGTTTTCCCCCTCTCTGATGTTCCACCGGCTGCTCTGCCTGAACTCTCTCTCTGCTTCTAAAGCTTCCTGATGGACAGATTGTTTACATGTTGCTGCTAGCCAGTTAGCTCAGTGAGTGCCCAGACGCCAAGCTGCAAGCACCGGAGGAAATGTTTGTGTTTACACCACAAGACCCGCCAGGAGGAGGAGGAGGAAGAGGAAGAGGAGGAAGAGGAAGAGGAAGAGGAGGAGGAGGAGGAGGAGGAGGAAGAGGGAGAGGGAGGAGGAGGAGGAGGAGGAAGAGGAGGAGGAAGAGGAGGAGGTTTTCCAGCCAGGGGCGACTTGTTGGGACTCAGTACCTATTTGAATTACAGAAGATCCAAACACAACTCTGACTCTAGGGTGGATGAAGATGGCAGGGTAATGTGGGGGTAAACCTGCAGGGTGCAAGGAGTCAAACACTGCATATAATAAAAATTCTCCACCTCGCTGGAGTGGAAATCAGGGTGCAATTGTAACTGATTACACCTGACTCTATCCTGCATCCACAATCTCTGTTTCAAAGGTATCGCCCTTAAAACACAGTTTAAGAGAGTTTTATTATGAAGCCATTTTCACACATGAACTGCAGATATTTACAGATTATTTCAGGCCCTGATATTTTCAGGAGCATTTCCAGTAGTGCTCTCACAACTCATATTATTTTGTCTGGTAGATGGGGGGGTCGTTAGGTAGTGTTTAGAGGAGGAGAGGGAGGAGGGGGAGGGGTCCTGTGTAAGGTGGATTCAAATCACAATAAAAAAGTATAATGACGTTTCTGCACGTCAAACACAGCAGTGGAAACAATGAACTGACAGCTGACGTGAGCTCACAACACGAGGGCTGCACAATAAATTGCTGATTTTATCGTTATCGCGATACAAACATTCGCAATAAACAAAAACGCAAAAGTCTGAATTTGTTGCAGTACATATGAAGATTTTTATATCTATAAGCAAGAAATGCTTTCTACCCAAGCAGGTGTACATGTTAACTGTCCAGTGGAGTCCATGTTGATGCAGTCAGCTGTAACGCAGCTAGCTGTTAGCGACCCTCTGATCAATCTGTGCCAATCGAGCGGATCAAAAGAATCAAGTTTCAAAAGCTCTACCTAATATGGATTAGTTTATTTATGCTACTTGACACGGTTAACTTAACATTTAACAATTTTTCAGCACATCACATTGTCTTTCATGTAATGCAGGCTCAAGAGAACAAAAGACTTCAGGGTCCAAAAGAATTCAAATGATGATTGTATGATTCAAAAGTTAAATGCCCATATTCAAGCTTACATAAACCCACCACATCTATTATGACATCGCAGCAGGAAAAAGATATGGCAGTGTCAGTTTTTCCCCAATCTCGCTCAGCCCTACATCCGGCTAACTCGCATGCTTGAAGAGAATGTTTCAGACTATTACCTCTAGCGTTTACACATCGACTGTTGTTGTGCAGATTTTTTTTTTTTTTAACCAGGAGGATGGATGAAAAAAAAGTACAGCTGATTGCATTCACCCGTGCACCCCTACCCAAATGTTATCAGGGCACTTTCAAGAGTGTAGTGCATGTCTGGGAGAGACTTGTGTCTTGATTAAACAAGACTGAAATGACTCTGATGCCTCTCTAAAAGCTACAAAAGCAAACACCATCAGCGAGTATTTCTTTGCTGTTCTTTTTAACCTAACACCAGATCTGTGTCAGACGAGGTCGTCCGCAGCAGAAGAAGTCTTAGTTAACATTTTTCACAGCAAAGATTCACAGAGATGCATGCTTTTGAGCAGGGTGGTGGGGGGGGGAGGGGGGTTTACTCCTGATGCACGCTCAGGACAGGATCATCGTTTGAAAAGAGGCGCAGCTTCGTCCACAGGGGTTTACCGAGTTTGACGGTAAATCAAAGTTCCCTCACAGAAGCTTTGACACCGCCTCGTCATGTTGATGTAGTCGAGTAACAGACAACCCAAGACGGTTCACAAGAGCAAGAGAGTGTGAGAAGATCAGCCGGAGTCACTCGGGGTGAGAGAGAGATGAGAGGAAGTTCACAGTGCTGTTAAAAGTTGAAAATTCACCTGTCATTCACACGCTTCACACTGGCTGCCACGCACGCACGCACGCACGCACGCACTCACACACACACACCATCTGGCTACTCCCATCTCCAAACACAGTGTTAGGATTCATTCACACACTGTATGCACATTCAGTGGGCGCTGCCACAACACCTCCAATCATGCAGACTCCATCACACTGTTAAAAAAAGACTTGTGGGGCCTTCTCGGCTTAACACCTGAAATGTTAGCCAAATGAAGAGACGGCGTTGCAAACACTCTGCAAGTGTAACGACGAGGCGACTTTTAACCTACCGCACTACTTCAGTCACTGTGTTCTGGTGCAGCGTGTTCGCAGTGATTTCTATGCTTGTGTCATTTGATTTCAGCTTCAAAAACAGGCTAAGCATATAAGTTAGGCAATCAGTACTGTGTCTAAGCACGCTTCACTCCTGAAGTCCAGTTTGTTTGACCAGTGTGAGTGCTCCGATCCGTGCTCGAGCTCTGTACACTTCCTTGGCCCTGGCACACTTTGGCACGGTACAGTTCAAGCACGGGTACACAACATGGACAGACTTTATTATCAAGAAACCCCACAGTGTTCTGTCTGTTTCTGACTAAGATTACTCAAAATATAAGTCACAAAGTCAGTAAAGTCTTGTTCTCTGATGTACAGACGCCGACCTGACAGTGTGTCCCCTTTTTTAGTCCTGGAGCAGTGTGAGTGCAGGCCTGCGGGGGGGATGAGGAGGGGGGAGGGGGCAATCGTACAACTTTGCCGAGTGTGATTGCGCCCTTAGTGGACATGTCAGATGATTGAGTCACTATCATGATCAGTAAAGTTTCCCAGCACATTCCTCTGCAAACACATATTTATATTATGCCTTTAAACACCAGCATGATTCACCAATCTATCTTCATGCTGATGATATTTGATATATTTCACACTGTACTCCTCTGCTCTTCATTTGCTTCATACTGCTGCAGTAGATCTTTTGTTTGGCAGACTTTATATTCTCCATGTTATTGAGGAGGCAAATATAGAGATATAATCCAGATGAATAACACGGTGACATTAAACTTTAAACTAAAGGATAACAGTGCTAAGTAGAGGTGACGGCTCTTTGTGGCTGTGTTTATACAAAGTGAGGCTTAGAGATAAATATCACTGTCAGTGTCTAAAGAAGCAAACATAGTGATAAGAGCCTGAAGCATCAATCTGACCATATCACTGATTGAAAAGGATCTATTAAAGACATTACAGTGTTAGGGTTGGGGTGCTGGTGGCACAGTGGTTAGTGCGTGCGCCCCATGTATGGAAGCTGTAGTCCTCTAAGCGGGTGGCCCAGGTTCAAATCCCACCTGTGGCTCATTTCCTGCATGTCATTCCCTACTCTCTCTCCCTGATTTCTGAATCTATCCACTGTCCTATCTCTCAATTAAAGGCACAAAAAATACAGTGTCCGGGATTCTGTTTCTGAAACACACTGAAATAAAAACATGCCTGGGATGTTTAAAAAACGAGCTGCTCTCACTAGCCCTGATCAGACTGCTGTTTCAAGCTGCTTTATTTACACCCCTGTGATGTTTTGACTTCAGTCTGAATGTCACAAATTAGGGAACAAAACTATCCCACCTGTGCAGCGTCTTCAGTGGTAGTAACAGAGACGTTATAAACGCGAGACGGTTTCAGCGGAGTCAGCGTTGGAGCGCTTTGTGTGACTGTGTGTGTATGTGGAGCTCCTGCTGTGCCGTGCTTCTGCAACGTCGAAACACAAAGTGATGGTACACCAATATTATGAACGTACAAAGACGTGATGACGGCTGAGCTTAGTTACGATACTTTCGCGGGTTTGAAAATGGCCATTGGATGATTTAGAGCAGATGCTGAATCACTTCTGGCTGTAGATGTTCTGCCTGATATATTCATGACTGTAGTCGATTTTGACAAACGTTTGCTGTGATTTTATGTTTTTTAACGTGCTCACGTCTCTTATTATATGTTTGTGCGTATGGCTGCTGGTTGCCTGTCTTGGCCAGGACACTCTTAAAAAAAACAGATTTTTAATTTAAAGAGTTTTTTCTCTCCTGGTTAAATAAAAATACATAAACAAAATAATTAAAAAGTTGTTGTAATTTCAGTTTAGACCAAAGTGGCACTTCCCTCCCTGGAGCTATGCTGCGGGCGCGGCTGACACAATGAGCATTGTATCATCATATTAACATACAGATTGAAATATTTTTCTCCTCAGGTACTGCAAATGTAACGACCAAGGTGAGGAACATGGGAAGCAAATCATATCCTGCCCCCACAGATACACACATTTAAGTGTTGTCTGTATAAGCTGTCTTAATAAGGGTTAAATTATAGGTACAAACGTGATGTAACAAGACAACTGACATGCTAAAACATGCCTCCAATGGCTTACAGACTTTAAACCATAGCAGGGGCTTAAAATGTGCAAATTTGGGAAACTTCCCTATCAGGACTTTCACACTTGCATATCCTGAAAAGCTCCTGATATTACCAGGAGGAGCTGTATGTGTGAACGCAAACAGCTGAATATTTCGCTCGGACTTTGGACTTTACCTGGAATTTTCTCCTGCCAGACCTCTTTAGTATTTTTTCCGCAGCGAGTCCAAGTGAAGCTGATGTGAGAACGCTTCAGCAGGATATTCTCCGGAGAATTCACCTCGAGCCAATAGGAGAGGGAGTGACGTTTGTATAAAGTGACTGCTGCCGGATCAGTCCTGCTGGAATTATCTAGATATTATCCTGAGTGCATATGTGAAAACGGCTTTAGAGTCACCATTGGTGTGAGTTTATTTATAACATGGCGGTGATGAGCGCTGGTTAGAGGGGCCCCCTGTGAGCTTTTGCTTCAGGACCCAACAGAGTCTAGAACTGCCACTGCACACAGTCAAAACATCCTTTAAAACAGGGGGTCATGTCATTGTGCTGTTGTCTAATTCAGTGGAATATGGCACTTGGAGAGACTGTTTCTGTAGCACAGCGGCCTCAAACATAGCTCTGTGTAGTTATCAACATCAATTTGGCAGTCAACTTGACAAATAAGTTCAGGAGGCCCGAGCAATAAATCTCGGCTTGATACTCAGAAGGCAGGCATAAATATCCACTAAACAGAATTTAATGGCAGACACACTGGTGGCTTAGTGATTGCCATTAAGGAAAGTCATTACCAAGTGAAAGAAAAGCAGCCCTCTATTTGACGAGTCAATGAAGCTGGCAGATGTTTTGGATTTACTAACCACTTTAACAGATAAATGTTTCACCGCAATTTGGGCTTTCATGTCAACACCCAAGTGGTAATTGTTTTTAACAATCTCTTTCATGGCCTGTTGCTACACCACTAATTTCCTCTTGTTTTTTTTTTTTTAAAGACGCCCTGTGTCCTACATGCTACAGTTTCCCTCCAAAGGGAAACAATCTCGGGCCGTTTGTCTAAAAGCCTGACAAGCAGAAGAGTATTGTAAATCTCTGCTGCTGCTGCAACCCTTCTCAACCTTTTCTCCTGGAGCAATGAATTCCTCCCTGCTTATTTTTAATTCAGTAAACCGCACTGTAGCCACTACATGCATATAAAACTGGGGGACACATTTCAGGCGGAAAAAAATGCAGATCAATGGTGCCCCCTGCTGCAGAAATTAGGAAAATGCAGAGAGAGAGAGACGGAGCAAGAGCAGAAAGGGCTGCAGTGGAAAAAAAACAAACGCTGCTGAGAGTGCTGAGCCGCTGAGAGGAAGTCAGATAATATTTGGACTGGAACAGACTGTGTTATAGGGAAAAGGGTGTGTGTGAGAGAGAAAGCGGTAAGGCAGGGAGGGGTTGACACAGAGAGCGAGAGAGGGGGGCCCGCGGGGGAAACTGTGGAAGACAAAAAAGACGAGTGGGTGGTTGGGAGCACATGAAAGGGGAGATTTTTGAAAACCGAGAGAAGTGCTGTTGCAACATTGTATAGTTATATGCATGCAAAACACATCTCACATTGTTTGGTTTTCCAAATGTTTTCTGGATATCAAACGTCAAATGCACCTGTGCCTCCTTCTACCTGCGTATAGTTGTGTGTTTTATTCAAGAGAAAGAAAATCACTTCACTCACGTTGGATTGCACGGAAACGTGGGCCGAAGGAGGGTGAGGAGCCCGAGCCCAAATCAGGAGAGTTCCGCCTCTTCTCCAGGCCCGCGACGCCTGCACGGTAATCTTATGGATGAAATCTGCAAGACAAAAAACACACACAGACATTTACAACAGATGTTAGACCACCTGGATGTCAGACACCTGCCAGGGTGCACACACACAAGTTTCAACGCTTGATAGATTTACACTCAAACATTTGAGGGCTGTCACCCTAGGCAGTGCTCAGATGTGGAACTGAGACCTTGAACCAGCAACCAGCAAGTCCCCACATACTGAGCCTCTGCCACCCCAACTAGCCGACACAACTTATGAGCTAACAGGATCGTGTACTTCCTATAATTCATTTAAGTAGTAACCAATTACCTGAAATTTGTTTGCGAGAATATTGGCTGTTTAGCCTCCTAGGAAGTAAACAAGTACAGCTAGCGACTGCAACAACCTGCTACTAGCTAGCATTTTTAACAACACTTACAAAGTGATTCACTAGGATAACTTCTGTTTCACTGTTAGCAGTCAATTTCACATTCAATTTAGAAACTAAAGCAGTTGACATCAGCATGTTTCTGTTCCAGCTAGCTGCAAGCTAACACTGCTGCTTACAGGCAGAGAGCTCAGTAGCTTCAAAGGGAACATTTTCCCTTTATACTCTGAAAAGACAAATGATTTCCTCTACCACTCTTACACTATCGTTCATAGCATTTTTAGGAATCGTTATTTTAAAAAATATATTTTTCACAATTTGCATAAAAGATTAAAAAGCTCCACAACCAGCAGCTACTAGCATTAGCTTGTTCATGTTCTGTCAAGTGGTGCTATGCTAAACTTGCTGTAAAGCTAACAGGCTTACATCACAGGTTTACTGAGCTGGTTAGTGCTAAATGCTTTAAGAAGCTAGAGCCAAAAATAAATTAGTAGTATTCATGGTGACACATTCCACATAAAAAATTACATCAATACCACTACTATCATGCTCAACTAGCTCTCTACCTCTATGTTTCTCTGTTTATGAAAAAGAAGGAGAAGATATCTGTTATTAATCCCACTAGAGGGAAATTACATTATTGAGACATGCTACACACACACAGGCTGAAATACACACACATACACAAACAGGATCCTATGGACATGCACTATTTAAGAGATGTCAGAGTGAGAGGGCTGCACATGAAAGAGCACCCGAGCAGTTAGAGGGGTTCAGTGCCTTGCTCAAGGGCCCCTCGGCAGTGCTGATGAAGTGACCTTGCACCTCCCCAGCTACCAGACCAACTTCCAGACTGGAACTAGCGACCCTCCAAACCCAAGTCCCTACAGACTGGGCTACTACCGCCCCCTCATGCTGCCTCCATATAACTTTTAAAGAGCAACATTTTGAGATTTAAGTGCAAAACCCTCCAAAACCACCTCTATGCTGAACTGCATTTCACCACACATATTGCTCGTGTATATGACAAATAAAACCTTTAAATCCTACATAAGAACGCCTTAAGCTTGTTCTATTTATATCTGCTTTAACAATATACAGGATTAAGGGTAATATATGAGTGGCAGGTAATGTGTTGTGAAAATAAAAACACTACAGGGAGAGCAGTGGTGAAGGAGGGAAAGAGTAAGTGTAAGAGCAAGAAAGTGAGAGAGGGCGAGACAGCAGTGTGTCCATGGACAGGAAGTGTAAAGGCGTGGTTGGCTCACTCTCACCTCTCATCAACCCCCCTCCACCACCACCACATCACCGCCCTGCTGCTGCTGGGAAAGGCCTAACCACACACAAACACACACACACTGGATCTGAGCGACGGCAGGCTGTGTGACTTTGTGACAGTAAGAGGACACAGCATTCATGGGAAAGAGCAAAAAGTGGAGTAAAAGTCAGACGCGTGATCCACCTGTAAAGAATGAACGCATCATTCACCACGAACACGGTCTAAACGTCGCTGCAGGAGGTCGCCTCAAGATAAATATGTTAAATGTTCATAGTATTTTCGACATTTCTTAAACAATCTATTGGACGACAGCAGATCAGCCAGCCCCGACAGGAACCTTAAATACAGCCGAGCTGCAAAATGACAACAGTCACCACACAGAGCTCTGTCACTAACTTCCTCTTCTCGACTCGACGGTTTTTTCTGTGCTGATGATTTTGGTGCGGACATATTTAGGGTGTAACCCCGCCTCTTGCTCAATGACAGCTGGGATCAGCTCCAGCCCCCCGCAACTCCCGAACGTGAAAAGCAGTAAAGAAAATGGATGGATTCCTCTGATGCTGCACTGAGGGAGGGAAATTTGATTGCTGCACTCCAAGAGATGATAATAAAAAGGTCACATGTGATGCAAGACACACTTTACCATCTGACACTTCGAGGTGTCTCTAAATCAGACGTTACAATGATGCACACTGTACTCGAGTAATGTTTGACAATGCACACTGGGTCTTAACTTTATACTGTCAGGTATTTGAACTCAACATCGTCTTGCACTGCAGGACTGTAAAAATCTGAAACTCATTTCTTAAAACAAACACGAGCGTACCTTGAGGCATGCTGATCTTCTCCCCGTTCTTGCTCTTGAGCTTGTGCTTCTTGAACGTCCCCTTCCTCTTCTTGACGTTGGGCTTCTCCTGATTCTGGTTCAGGTGCTGGATGAGGAGGCTGAGCTCGCGCTCGAACACGTCCTGCTCCCACTGGGCCAGCTGCTGCTCGCGCTGACGCAGGAACTCTTCGTGTGACTTCTGCTCGAGGGCCGCTCGCTTCAGCTCCTCCTCGCGACACCTCAGCTCCTGGTTGGTGGAGGAGGAAAGGAGACGCAGCGGAATGATGTGAGGAAGGTGGGATCAAAGTTTACAGACTGGTAGTGTACTGTAGGTACTGCATCGGAACCTTTGATGGTCATTTTTTGACAAGCTGACTCCCACCTGATTTTCAGTATTTAACTTCCTGTTCCAAAAATAAGTGTTTGGACTCCAAATAAATATACTGTAGTTCCTCATTTTTATTGCTAAAAATACAGATTTTTGCGCTGAGTTTAGAACACTTGATATGCTGACGAGGTTAATTTTATTATATTGCCTAAACCAAAACACAGCCCAGGGTTCAGCGTCTTAAAGAATGTCAAGATTTTTTCTCAAACACACAGAAATTCCATGAATCTGAAGAACACACTCGGCGTCCCTGAACGCGTCTCACCTTCTCTTTAGCCCTCAGCTCATCGAACATGTCCTGAATCTCCAGCTTCCAGTCCTCCTGCAGCGAGTGGAAGGAGTCCTGCGGCATCTCTTCCTTCACCTGCTGCTCCAGAGCCATCAGCTGGGACAGGATGGAGCTAAAGTTGGGCCTGCGGTGGGGGTCCTGGTCCCAGCACTCTGTCACACACACACACACACGCACACACACACACACACACACGGACAACACAATCAGACTCAGGAGAATGGTTCAAGGATGCAGAGAAAACTTCAGGAGTTTTATGCAAATGTGGACAAGGATTACGGCAGAAACTTTAAGAAATAAGGAAGTTGTTGAATAACTCAGAGCAACAAAGATATAAAGAAAAAGACAAGTTGATGAAACAGATGAAAAATTGTCTGGTTTCGTTTTTCTGTTGTTTCCTCAAAGTGAGTGGAAAATATGAGCGAGTTAATCCAGTAGTTTCACTTCTTTTGAATGAGGAGACTCTAAAAAGAGAAGTGACCGTCTAATTCGACATCAGTAATACTAATTTTCATATAAATCAGGGTTTTTTAAGCTTCTTTTAATAGTTAAACCCAGGACAAAAAGATGGACGTTTCTGTGCTCTTTACATCACAGTTTGAATCGACGGTTCTCCACTCTACTCTAATCTTTATTTACACATCCTTCAGCCTCTTGTGTGAGCTCGATCCGGAGTCAAGCTGATCACTTATTCAAAGTGTTATGCTTAATTAACTTGCTGTGGGGGTTTTTGCATAATTCGCTGCGACGCTTTGGGCCCTACAAGGAGATCAAAAAACAATCCGATAATTAATTAATCCTCTGAGGTGGCTATCAGTGGTTTTGCGCACTGATCTTTTTTTTTTTAAAACAGGACTGTAAGAGGAAAAGCTGACACCACAGAGAGCGGGGTTAAGATGGTACACTTTTTTATGTCTGTGAGGAGACAGAACTCAGGTGACACTTTTTTAGCGACACAAATAAAAATGAACACAAACATGTTACAAAAGGAAACACTTCCTCTCCACAGCCACGTTTCTTAACAACACACAGGAATTTGTTTTCTCAATTTCTACCCAGCTTTGGGGAAATGGAGAGAGAGCGTGTTGTTGACACCGATTTGATGTCACGCGAGAGAGAACTCTCACACCAGTGAACTGAGGAACAACCCTCAAACACACAAACAGGGCTACCAGTTGCATTTTTTGTCCCACCTGCCATGAGCTGAGCGAAGGGTTGGGGGCAGGTGGAGGGGATGGGCAGGGTGAGCTTGTTGACGGCGACTCCGTAGGCGACGGCCAGTCCATCAATCCCTTTGTAGGGGGCTTCTCCTGTGAGCAGCTCCCACAGCAGAACACCGTAGCTGGAAGGAAGAAATGAAACAGAAAAAGCATGAGACAGTCCATCCAGACTAATATTAAACACAGGATGTATTCTTTATAACACGCCTGTTGTGTGTTCTTCCTGCAGCTGCTGCATGGAAAAACTCTTCCATGAATAACAGTCGAGGTAGAACATCTAATGATGTTTTTTTTCCCCCTGTGAAGCGAGCAGCCAGGACCATCTTAAAGGGAAGTCCTGGTAGTCCTGGGACATGATTTAAATGGCGACACCTACTGAAGCCTAACACGTGGCAGAGGCCGTTAACCAAAGTCCAGATGTCTCCAGCCAGCCACTCAGGAAAGGGCAGCAATTGCACAACTGAAATCTTAAACCCTGTTCAGATTGTCGTTTAAAGCCGCCATATTTACGTCCCTGTTTTTACCCGGTCTTGTCTCAGTCTACGACTGGGTGGACTCTGGGTGGAATGAGCTATATACGTATACCAGAACTGTTTTCTGATCCAGGCTGGAAACATCCTTACTTCTGCTGTAAAGATGGACGTTTAAATATGACACCTAACAGTAGATTCTTTGGTTTTTTGCAGCCATCCTCAAGTGGACACTCAAGGTACTGCACTTCTTTGCACATCTGCATTGGCTTCATATTCCAACACCAGACCTTACCGCTTGGTCTTCCATTGCACCTGTCTTTTGTCCCACTGTGTTATTATATTATGTTGTGTCGAAGCAAACCCTTTCAAATATCAAAGAAACACAACAATACAAAAAAAAAGGCTGACAGACTGAAGAAGCTATTTACAAAAAACTCTCACATTCTACGAGGTCAGAGCCTTGATTCTGTAAGTGAAGTCTGGTGAGAGCACTGAAGAGGCTGTTTCCTGTTTTAAATAAAAAAAACTAAAAAAACACCCTTCCTTAGGAGAAACAGTTATTTCTGTAGGGATCCTTTCAGGAAAGCACTTAGAATAACAGGCTTACTTTAATCGGGCGCCTTCTGTCGCAGCAATTAAATCTCACCTTGCCGCTTCTGACGGAAACTTTTGTACCTATCAATCAATTACAATCAAATATTTAAAAACAGAGCCAAGGTTTGAAACTACATGACTTCCCTTTGAAGGCTATCATTTCCAGACTTCTCAAATATTACAGTATTTTAACACCAAGGAGGAGAATTAGAGCCCGACTGATTAATCGGCCAGCCGATAATATCGGCCAATATTAGCTTATCCATTGATTATCGGCTAATTTTGATGCAGATATGTGCCGATATTTCAGATTTATTCACCAGTCAAAAAGCATTTTATTAGATTTTCATTGTATTACACTATCAGTTCTCTTTCCCCAGCAGAGGGCGCTATATGTATTACAACACGCATCATCACTCTTAAGAGTGTCGAGCGGTGATGCACGTACATGCACAGTTACTTTCCAGTTGAGTGACCATCTTGTCTTCATTATGAATCTTTTCCACAAGTGTTTCAGAACTGCAATTGAGGGATCAACACAATAAATGTGTTTATCTATATCTATCTCTACAGATCAAACATAGATCTAAGAAAGATATCTGCCGATATGTCAGTATCGGCCCTGAAAAACCCTGGGTCGGGTCGGGCCCTAATGAGAATCCAAGGGAAGTTGATTAATAATAAATGTGTAGGTTTTCATTCTATTATGTGTTCCAAAACTATTTTTTTTAGGAACAAAATATGTTCTTAAAAAAAAAAAAAAAAAAAGGGAATCCAAAGGACAACATTATAGTCGTATTGTCCTGTTTCCTAAAGTACAGTGTGGACTAAGACGTGTGGATCTACACATCCAGCAGACACAACAACATAAGCATTCATCTTCTTGAGCGACTGTATAGCCCACTACATTTAGTCCTGACCTTGACCTTAAAGACAACATCTCGACTCGGGTCGGCTGTGACAAAACTCCACGCTTTATATTTTCCGCTTCGGGCTTTGTGCGGCAGATTATACTTTACACATTCATGATCAAAGCACACACAGCACAGCACCAAGACACAATGGTGCAGTGGAATATTTTTGCTTGATGAAACTTGCTTGCAAAGCGATGTGAACTCATGCATGCAGAACTTGTACAAAACACACAGACACACACACACACACACACAGACTTTGGAGCCCACACAATGGGAGCAGCCCTGTGTCCCTAGAAGATGAAGCGTGGCGCAGGACTTGGATCTCCCACACTGTCAATTAACCCTCGCCCCGAACTGACTGAACGCACAGTGGAGGCCGGCTAAGTGGAGAGCACAGGCCGCAGCCCTTTTTTTATTTAGTTCTTTAATTACAACTTCCACACACTGTGACTGTGCAGAAAACGCCGCTCGTCGACTCGCCCCTCAGGCGGTTTGTCGTCTCCGTGCGGCGGCTTTTGGAAGACAAGCGGCCGATGGAAAGATGAGAAAGAATAGTAGAACAAAGATTACCCTTCATTTTCAGAGCGCGCCCGCCCGCCCGCCTGCTACTCGCTCATTTTGCAGTTTTCCAGATTGTGAGGAGATTGCTGTGAAAATGAGCTTGCGTGGGTTTGTTGTGGATACAAGCAGGAGTTGGAAACTGAGAGTGTGTGTGTGTGTGTGTGTGTGTGTGTGTGTGTGTGTGTGTGTGTGTGTGTGTGTGTGTGAGATAGTGAGATGACACTGAGCTCATTAGGGAAGAGGAATAACTGTACACTCTGACTAAACAGCGCTCCTCTGAGGACCAGAAAATTCCTTAAGAGGCTCGCACCACAGCAGAATCCTCTCTGATGTTCTCAAGGACGCATTCAGAAAAGGTTATTGGAGCAGCACGCTCAATCGGTTTCACATAGGCTGCAAAGAAGCCGTTTCAGAATGGATGAAATGGTCCAAATCCACAGGATTAAAATTAAACCATTGCATATAAGACTTAACAGCCATAGCTACCATGCAGTAAAACCATGCATGTGTTATTGTTGTAATAAATTAAATGGCTGATCTTTTTTTTTAGTAAGAGTAAAGACATCCTGGTCTGATTTATTCCTAATGCTGGTTCCCCTCTTTACAAATCACACTGCTTTTTAAGACATTATTAAAAATCTAGGGACTCTCCTCTTTCTGTGCCAGACACACACAGCTATGCACACACACACACACACACACACACACACACACACACACACACACACACACACACACACACACACACACACACACACACACACACACACACACACACACACACACACACACACACACACACACACACACACACACACACACACACACACACACACACACACACACACACACACACACACACACACACACACACAGATAAAGGGCTGTGGTTAGCTCTGCTGTGTGGCCTCTCTCTCTCTCTCTCTCTCTGTGTCTATACTGGAGACAATGGGACAGTGTGCACTACACATGTCCCACAACAAAGCACAGAGCAGCTCTTTGAAGAGACGCCATCACATGGCTGCTGCGGCCTTGTTGCAATCCATCACTCTGCCCCCCCCCCAACCCCCTTCTTCTCTTCATCACTGTCTCCCACCATCACTTCTCTGCACTTTTCACCCTTTCACCTCTACTCCTGTCATGTTGCCGTCTGTGTGCAGAGCCCCGTGGGCGAGACCGTTACGCTGCAGAACAGCTAGTCAACAGTCCACACTACTGTACTTCATAAACACTGACACACTGATGTCGAAATCCTCTTCATGCACTTGTGTAAAAGTGCAACACTAAACATTGCACAACAAATATTCTAGATTTAAAACTTGTCCTGACTTTGAACTTCTACCTGGGGGGACATGGTCAGGATCAGAACATTTTGATTTAGATGTCTAAGTGTGATGTGCATTAGATTCACTGATCTAGTTTTTATGAACCTGTACATGGGAATACTCCACTGTTTCAGTCTGTGTGTGGACAGGGCCGATCATCCAACACATACACGCAGCAAAAAGTGACGAGTTAGAGCTTTAGAGTTAGAGATGAACCTTAATAAACCTCGATACACAGAGACGTGAAAGACGTCACCATAGTCCAGGACAGACGTCTCTTATATGACCGGGTGGATTCAATGAGGTCATTTAGAAATTGTTAAATCGACTTCTTCCAAATTTGTGCACTTTGACTCCTTTGTTGATAATATTTAAAGGCGGGGGCTCCGGAGGCATGCTGAAATCCTGCCTCACTCTAACTTTCAGTCAACCTATAGCAACAGGCTGAGAGCTGGAGCTGAGGCGGGTTTTAAGCCTCTTGACAAACTGTTACATCACGCCACATCAATTTAGACCTACATACATTTTTAATTTATGCTGTATAAACTGCTTTTTTGCTGTTGTGTGTATGTGACTTCCTGTGTTCCTGGAGTCAGCCTCAAACGGACACTCGATGAACAGCAGGATTTTACACATTCTTCTTTTTTCAACACCAGAAGCCGTCACTTGAGCAGAACACACCTAGATTAAAACCGTCTGCTCACTGTTATATTACAAACCAGGATTAAATGTTAACTACGTACATAAGTCCCTATGCTTTGGATACCTTACAAACACTCGAAAAAGTGTTTAACACTTGTATTGTTATGATTATAAAACAAATAAAATATGTGAATATTAGACTCTTTTACTCTCTCATTTGTGAATTCTTCCCAAAATCCGATTCCAGTCAGGCTCTACTACTGATAAGCAGATCAACACGGTGCTTTCCAGGCAACAAAGAAAACCATTTTTATCCTTTTACGGAAAAGTCGGACTTTGCAGGATTAGCTTTGCTCGCTTAGCCTATAATTAGCTTCATATTTAGCATACAGGACAGAAGAGCAGCTTTAATCTTTGCACCCAAACTCTGAAAGATCTGCCATTTCCCAGAATGTTGACGCACCCTGCTGTGACTTAATCCATCCCCCCCTTTCATCCAAAGAAGTGTTCACAGTTTGTACGTAGATAAGATATTATCATAAAAGTTATATTTGTACTTTAAGAGTCCTGGATTTGGGTTCAGCTGATCTTTGAAGCACTTTAGTAAAAACATGCTGCAGATGAAACACAAGCTCTCACCTCCAGACGTCGCTGCCCTTGGAGAAGGTGGAGGACTTGATGACCTCGGGGGCCATCCAGGCGTAGGTGCCGGCGGTGCTCATCTTGGTGGTCTTGTGCCACTCTCGGGCCAGGCCGAAGTCGGTGATCTTCAACGTCAACCCCTCCATGCATTCATTCTCTATGGGCTGAGCCAGGAGGACTGGAGACACAGGGAGAGGACGAGAGGAGAGAGAGAGAGTCGGTCAAACATGATCTGTGATTCAAAGTCTAATAAATGCATTCCTCAAAGGACTTCATTTGTACTTTCTGTGTTTGTAAATACTAAAAAAAGAGACTGCTCCTATACACATACTTACAAATTCTAGATTTGTTTCTCACTTCCTGTTTCTCTTAACGATACATTTCAAACTGACAGCGACACTCACATCTCCACTAATCCTACTTCAGAGTCTGCAAGCATTGAATTTAAAAATGCAAATCATTACCATCACAGGTAGCTTGACAAGGTGTTATTTATTTCTGACTTGGTGAATTTGCACGGCATGTGAGAGAGAGGGTGATGTGGATGCAGAGGAGTAAAGGGCTCTGAATCAATCTGAGTCGTCACCGGAAACATGGCCTCACATGAACTGAGAGACAGGATGCACTATTTTTAAATGAAATGCTAACATATCAGACGCTCCTGAAGCTCTGATTCCTTTTTGTGTTGTGACGTGCAAAAAAAAAAACTTCTGCTACAATAGCTGAAAAGCTGTTTTTGTTTTACTATTTTATACTTTTATTGTGAAGCAGTTACAGAAATATTAAAACCCTTAAAGGTTTTGATGTTTATATAATGATTTAAAAAAAAAATCCATTATGACGATTACATTAACACTCGTTTGATTAAATTGGGTTGAACTGTCGTCTACATGAACCAACAATAACCAATTATTTCAATTAGAGACAAGTTAATTAAAATTACATTTATTAAAAGTATTATTAATGTTGACAAAATGTTGAATCAAACTTTGATTTCATGTTTAGTTTAATTTTATAATGTTGAATTAAATTTAGGACAAAGTTGATCTCATCATTCCTCTTCACATGACAACCATAAAATGTAGCCGGTTAGCTTCTGTTAGCGATTTTGGAAGAGGAGGACTTGTATTTATTATGCTGTAATATTGAAACAAGTATGGACATTATACCAATTCTACTAGTTTGGTATCAAAGTTTAAAAGTCCGCTATCATGACAACCCTATAATAAAATTCTAGTTTGACCTCATTATTAAGCTTTCCTATAGTATTTAAAACTAGGACTATTCATTTATCTGATCACATTTAATCCCTGATTTAAAAAGTTAATCACAATTAATCACATGTTTGAAATGCCATTATTTCTCATTTTAAAACAGTCTTCATACTTTTATTTTGTGTTTTGTGCGGCCTTGAGCTAAGTTAGTGTCAACTTCCTGTCTGGGAAGAAAAATACAAATGCTTTTATTTTGAAGGAACATAAGGAAGTTCCAGTAGATTGATAGTTGCGCCGTTAACCTAACAAAGTTAAGAAAATAAAACTCTCTACAGGTGGCAAAGTGAATGAAAATATCCAAAGAGGAGGATAAAAAGGTTGAATGTTTGATGTCTTGAGGTGGATATTACGAGCGACTCGTCCACGGAGCTGTCTCTGAGCTTTATTTAAAGTGGAAAGGTGCCGTGGTGTCGTTTATTTTACAACAATGTGGCTGCAGGAAGACGCGACGGTGGACACAGTACGGTGAGTAAAAAGGGAGACAATGGCACGTTCATCAAGATGAGTGAGAATCCACTGCATCTAAATCTGATACACTCTGATCACTGCGTCTGCACAGTCTGCAATATTCAAACTGGATGGGATGGTGTGTGTGTGTGTCTGTGTGTGTGTGTGTGTGTGGGGGGGGGGGGAGGGGGGGGGACCAACTAGCATACATAAATCTGACAACTCTGCCATGTCAATGTCCTAAAAAGAGAATTCCCTTGGAGCTTGGTGATAGTCATCTCTGCTGCGTCTTATCTCGTACCTGCAGACACCATCATGGCAGAGCCCATGTGCACTCGGTCTGAATCAGAAGTCACTGCCTCATAATAAAAAATAAATCCTATCTTAGTAAAGCTGGGTTATTATTTGTGTTATCTACGCTACAGTCTGAGGTTTTGTTTGCAGTATTCTTGCGGGTAAACTTTGTATAAAATCACAAACAGAGACGAGTTCTGTTGACAGCTGGAACAACAAATATCACAAACCGAGAACACAGCAGCACTTATCATCCTTTCATATTCTGAGCTCGGAGAAACAAACCAAACAACAACAAAGACAATAAACCGTGCATCCTGATATGCCCTCGTCTGCACCGGAGGCAGAAACGCAGCCGCTCATTACACACAAGACAAATCTGAATACTCCACCTTTGTGTCATCTCCGAGGCAAACCTGGTTCTCCAAAACGACTTCTACTTAAAGTAGAATTCATTACAACGGAAAGTCAACTTAACCACTCACACTAATGAGGTGACACAAACCTCTAAGTGTGTGTAGTTAAGAGGCGTAATGATGGAGTGAAACATCCGTTATTTTAAGCCTTTGGTTAATCGAGTCGGTTCTCTGAGCAGAAAAAAGAAATATGTAAAAGTTCTCTCTCGTGCTCTGCAGGGACCGGCTGATCACCATCAACTCTTATGATTGAGAAACTCGGGGAAAGTTGTGCTTTCTGAAACTATTTCACTATGTTAGTACAATCCTCGAACGTGTTGGCATGGCAACAGAAGAATAAAAAAAACACTCGTAAGAGCAGAAAGATCGACTGCTGCTTTAAAGTCTGAGATGAACAATTAGTTCATACGATTTATGTACAATAGCTCACATTATTTATGATTATATTATACGATTTTGAAATATGTCACAGACACCTCAGCTGATGAGTCAAAAGAAATATCAACGAGGGGGCCGTTAGCCTAGTGGTTAGTGCACGTGTTCCATGTACGGACTCTGCGGTCCCTGAAGCAGCAGCCCAGGATTCAACTCCGACCTGTGGCTCCTTTCCTTCCCGTCATCTGCCACTCTCTCTCTCTCTGATTTCTGACTCTATCCACTGTCCTGTCTCTACAAAATAAAGGTATGAAAAAATATAAACCTTGTGACTTTTTTTTTTTGATCGTTCTCTTCGTCTGTTTTTATTCACTTTATGATCCATATGGAGTTCCCTTTTCTGTGGGGAAGTCAACTCGTTACTTCCGATCTACTGGAGGTTCCTTAATTTAATTCCAAATCTAAAAGCTTAGATTTGAAAAAATCCAGACAGGAAGTAAAGCAAACTTAGCTGATATACAAAATAAAAGCTTAACAAAAGAAATGGTCCAAATTCAAAATCCAAATAAATGGACTTTTAAACGTTCGATTAAAAACGTGATTAATCGCGATTAATTATTCAAACTCAGCAATTAATCGCGATCCAAAAAAATGAATCATTAGAAATCTGAGTTTATACTTTGGCCCCAGGGATGTCCAGTCCACTCATTTGGTATTTACAGAATCCTCTTACTGACTGATCTTCAATGTTTTCTTTCTTTCTTTCTTTCTTTCTATTCACATTTCATTGTCTCAGATTATTTGTTTCTTTAAACGTATTAACCTGTACTCAGGCAACGTCAACCCCCTGCAGGTGATCCAAAATGCAGACCCTCTTTGGGTTCTTTTAAAGGTTTATTTTGGGGATTCATATGCCTTTATTTTAGAGATATGACAGTGGATAGAGTCAGAAACCAGAGACAGAGAGAGAGTGGGGAATGACATGCAGAGAAAGGAGCCACAGGTCGGATTCAAACCTGGGATGCCCGTTTGGAGGAGCACAGACATGGGTAGCCTGTCTTTGTGGTTTTTAAAACATGCTAAATAAATACGTTGAGTGGACTTGGTGGTTACAACACGACGTGGTGCAGAGCGTGACATGCTGCTAGAGGTTATTTAAGGTTTCATGACTAAGCAGAAGTCATTTCTCATAGGAAGGTGTCAAAGACAACACATTTCCTGCACTTTTTTTTTTTTTATGTCTCTTAACCTGGTTTATACAGATTGATTCTTTGTACTTTCAAAGACTAAATATTTTATAGATGAGATGCCCCAGTCCCGGTATATCCAGGCTCCATATTGTTAGAGAAAGTCATTTGAAGACGTTTATAAGAATGCATGAATTTATTTACCAAAAATGCAGCACACCCATCGTTTAGAAGAGAGTAATTTAGCCCAGCTTTACTGTAGATGTGTGAATCTTTCTGTTCTATAAAAATCACTAAAGCAATGCTCCATGTGGTGCGCTGGTAGCCTATATGGTTAGTGTGCACGCCCCAAGTGTGGAGGTCATTGTCCTCCAAGTGGGCGGCCTGGGTTTGAATCCGACCTGTGGCTCCTTTCCCTCCATGTCATCCCCCACTCTCTCTCTCTCTCTCTTCTGACTCTATCCACTGTCCTCTCTCTAAAATAAAAGACACATAAATCCTGAAAATAAACCTTAAAAACACACAATGCTCCATGAAACCCCGCGGGAATTTCCGGGAAGTATTTAGTGTTGCTTTGAATGGGAGGTGTGTTTTCCCCTCAAACAAAACTCAGACTTTACTGATAACACCTGAAAGCAGCCAAGTCTCTGTCCAAACACAGATGTACAAACTGAAATAAAAAAAGATGAGTAAGTAACAGACGGTAAAAAAGGCAATAAGCTCTGAGAAAACACACTCTGGTGAGGAGCCAGCGTTATGCAAGCCCATGCTGTGTCGGAGCGCTTTGTTTGAAATAGAATATAATGCTGAGGATGTGGGTTGCTGCGGTGTGACTCTACATCACATGTTTCCTCGGTATGATCGGCAGCCCGTGCGCCTCTCTCTTCCCCTTCTGTTGGCAAGGCCCGGGCATCGTTACAGGGAAGGCTGGCCGTCAAACGCAGGGAGGAGAAGCAAGCAAAGAATTCCACTTATTATAGGGAAGTTTCTATTTGCAGTGACTTTCAGACTTTCTGGGCTTGGCACTCTTTTCCTTTTTTTTTTTGTGACTGTTTTTCACTGAAATTTCTTCTCAAGTTTCTCTTCTTAAACCACACAAATGTGAAATGTATTTCATGAAGGATTCTCTCTCTTCGGGGTCTCTTTGTCTCTCTCTCTTTCTCTCTCTCAGACATCCTGTGCTGT